GCAGGACCTCTTCGGCGAGCGCAAGTCGAGCGACCTGGTTCAGACTGAAAGGTTTGGAGAAGTCGTCCGCCGCTCCGCTTTCGCGCCGCAGGTTTGCGCAGAGTTGAATAAACGATCTGCGGTCAAAGGCGCAGTCCTCGAAGACGCGGCGCAGATGCAACAGCAACAGCTCGCAGCCGAGCAAGTACAAGTTGACCGCCGCGACGCGGAACACGTTGTATAAGGCGCGGTACGTGAACTGGAACTTCGGGTACAGAAAGTTGTAAGCGTACTCGCGCTGAAACTCATGCAGCAGCAAGTCCGCTTCGGTGGGCGTCGCCGCGCCTTCCGTGAGCGAGTCGATTCGCTGCGGTTCGCTGCCGAAGCAGAACGCGAAGAGCCCGGCCAAGAGCCGCCGAGAGCCTTGCGCGGCGCAAAGCTCGCAGTCGACGCTGGCTTCGGGCGCGTCTGCGGAGCTGAAAACCAGACGCAGCACGGTGGCCGCGTCAGCTTCGGGCATTTGCTCGATGAGGCGCGCGTGCCGGGTTGCGAGCGGTTCTCGCGCGAACGCCTTGACACACGCGGCAGGGCTGCCGTACTCGTACACCGTGAGCTCCGACTTGAGCAGTTGCGCGAGCCGTGGGAGCCGTTCGCGGCAGCACTCGAGCAAGTAGAATTTGCGGAGGAAGTAAAAGTAGCGCTTGAAGAACTCTGCGTCGGCGACGCAGCACTCGAAGAAGAACACGTCCTGCAAATAGTGGCGCACGAACTCGCCACACGCCGAGTGCTCGCAGAGCGCGGCGCAAATCGCGAGCGCAAGTTCAGACTCGCTGAGCAACCTCGCCGGCTCCGCGGTCGACGCGAAAGACGAGGAGGCGCTCCGCTCAGCCGCGTTGCGGGCCTCGGGCGATGACTCGTGCTCGGGCGCGCGATCGGAGGCCGTAGCGCTCGGCTCCGCCGCGTGCGACGCGGGCCAGGCCGGGGCGCGTTTCTGTGACCGTTCCGCGCCCGCGGCGGCGCAGCGGCAACGACTGTTCGCGAGAGAGCAGATGGGCTGCGCGAGACCCGGCTCGGGATGCACCGCGATGTTATGTAGAGCTACGGGAAGCAGGTACGCCGCGAGCAGAGGCAGCAGATCCGCGGCGGCACGGGCGCGGAGCGAGGCGGGCTTTTGGGCGTCGCACGCGTCGAGCGCCACGCGCGCCTCGGCCACCTGCGCTTGCACGGCGGGCGCCAGTCGAGAACCGGCGGCAGACGCGGCGCGCGCTCTCGCGGCGAGCAGCGGCGGGCCGAACAGCAGCGTCGCCACCTCGAGCGCCGCCGGCGCTTCGCAGAAGGCCAAGTGCAGCAAGAAGTCGAGTGAGCACGTCAAGCACGTTCCGCCGCCGTCGAAGCTAGCAGCGAGGCGCAACGCGGTCTGCTCTCGCGCGTCCGGCGCAGGCGGCGACGCGCCGCGCCGCGCGAGCGCCGCGGCCACGAGCTGGCAGACGTTTAGCGCATGGAACTGGGTCGCGGCCGCGAGCGCTTCGAAGTTGTCTTGCAATGGCGCCTCGGCGACGCGCGCCTCGGCGACGCGCGCCTCCGCGCCGGGCGCGGTGTCAATCGCGCGCGCCGGCGAGAGCGGCGCGGACGCGCGGCTCGGCATCGGGGAGTCCCGCGGCAAGCAGTCGGCGAGAGGGCGAACAAACGCGCGCTGCGGCGAGGCGGCAGCGAAGTGTTATTTGCGAAACGAGCGCAGGAGGGGCGACAAAACGTCTTTTAATAAATTTAGCTTCAAAAACGTCTGAGTCGCAGCAGCAGGACATGACTGGAGATCTCGCTAGACCCACCGAGAAAAACGAGCTGCGCAAGCACAAGATGAAGCGCTTGATTCCCGGCGCGAAGTCGTACTTCAACGACGTCAAGTGCGGGCAGTGCTACAAGATTCAGACGGTCTTTTCGCACTCCTCCACGATCGTCACGTGCAAAGAGTGCAATATCGTGCTGGCGCGCCCGACCGGCGGGAAGGCGGCGCTGAAGAGCGACTCGCAGTTCCGCAGAAAGTGAACTGTTGGCGCGAGCTTATGAATGCATATGTAAAGCGGCGCTACTGCGCTGCGTTGGTTGCCTGTTGTTCATTGTTCTCGTAGCCGGGCTCCTGCTCGTTCGTCCACAGCGTCAGGTTGTCGCGCAGCAGCTGCATGATCAAGGTGCTGTCGCGGTACACTTCTTCGTCGACGCTCTCGAGCTGCGTGATCGCGTTGTCGAACGCGGTCTTCGCGATGTTGCACGCTTCGCGCGGGTTCCCGAGAATCTCGAAGTTGAACACCGAGAAGTTCAGCGCCAGCCCGAGCCGCACCGGGTTCGTCGACTGCAGTTCCTGCTCCGCGATCGTTGTCGCCTGGCGGTACGCGCGGTCGGCCTCCTGCACGATCGTCTGCTTCTGGTCTTTCAGCGGGAACTCCGCGAGGTAGCGGTAGTAGTCGCCGCGCATCTTCCAAAAGAACACGCGCGCCTCCGCGTCGAGCTTGCTCTCGTCGTTGAGGATCGTGTCGTCAAGCAGCTTGAGCACCTCGTTCGACAGATCCATCAACTCTTTCTGGATCGTCGCCTGGTACTCGACCATGATCTTGATGTTGGCGCTGTTCCCGCGCTGGCGCGACTTGTTTTCGAGCGAACTGATGATCCGCAGCGAGGCGCGGCGCGCGCCAACCGTGTTCTTGAACGCGACCGAGAGCAGGTTGCGCTCGTCGACGCTGAGCTTGCCCTTCTTAACTAACACGAGTTCTTTGATGAACTTCGCCATTTCGTCGTAGCGCTCGGCTTGCTCGGCCAAGCGAGCTTTGATAATCAAGGCGTTTTCCTCCGTTGACATCGGCGACGGATTTAGCTCAAAATTGCTTATAATTTAACTAATTTAGGTACGTAGCACACAAAATTGCGAGCTTGCTGCGTCGCGCGGTCGTGCGCACGCCCGGCGCTGCGGCGAGCCTGCGTGCGCTGCTGAATTTATCTGCACATCGACTTTGCAATTTTGCGCCGTCGAATTTTTTTTGATTCGTCGCCGGGTTCTGGAACCGCGACGCACCGATTCGCGCTCCGCCGTGCGCTCCGAACAGTAGCCGCTTCGCATGACCGACTCGGATGCCGCAGCTCCGGACCTGGCGCGGCGCCGAAAAGCGCGCGTCGACAACCGGTTGAATAATGAAACCGCGGCGCTCAAAAATAATAATCAGCTCGAGAGCCAGTTCCGGCGCATCGTGCAAGAGATCAACCCTTCGCAACAGACGTTCGAAGGCGGGCTGCTTGCGCTGTTCCGCACCGTCAAGCGCAGCGCGCCGTTTGCGTACGAGCGCCACAACCACACCTACTGCACCGAGTGCTTGGGCAGCGGCGACCTGCTGTGCTGCGACTCGTGCCGACTCAGCTTCCACGTCGAGTGTCTGAAGCCCACGCAGGCGCAGAGTTTGCTGCACGTACCGACCAGCAAGTACGGGCTGCAGAGCGCCGCGGCCGGCTGCGAGCCGAGCGAGTTCGTGCTCTCCGAGAACGACTGGTTCTGTCCCTACTGCTTGTCCGACGACATCGTGGGCCTGTGGAAGCGCGGCGTGCCGCAGCTGTTTTGGCGCGCCAAGGGCTTCGGCGCGGCGTACCGCTCGTTCATCGACGAGCGCGACGGCTGCCGGAACCCGAGCCTCGCACAGTGTAAGCGCGAAGTCGACGAGTTCGTCGCGCAGCGGCGGCCCGCAGACGCGCTGCCGCCGAACCTGCTGCTCAACTTGCTGGTGCTGCGCCGCACGCTGCAGCGCATGGGCGACGTCTACGTCTCCGAGAACAAGTTGACCAGTTCCGGCGACGAAGAGCTCGACCCTTTCCGCAAGGTGCTGCTCGAGCTGCACGCCGATCGCGTCGCGAAGCCGGAGCTCGGCGCCGACGCCGTAAAAACTGAGTTAGACGCGGAGCACGCGCCCGAAAACGCACTGAGCTCCGAAGAGGAGCGCGCGGCCAAGGAAGAAGCCAAGAAAAAGAACCGCGCGTCGCGCCGCTACCGTGTGCGCTACTCGCTGGTCAAAACCGCCAACGACGCCAACTGCACGCTGGTCCGCGTGAACATCAGCAGCAACCATCAAGTCGCGCGCGTCACGCCGTTTCTCACCGAAGCGCTCATGCTCGGGGTCAGCTACTCCTCGCTCGACCTAGATAGCAAGGAGACTTTTTACTGGGGCATGAAGAAGCGCATCGTCAACGCGCTGCGCCCGTGCATGGTCTACTCGGCCACCGCGCTGCAGCTCGCGCGCGCGGACGCCGAGCGCCGCGGCGCGTTGGTCCCGCGCAACGACGACGAACTCGCGTACTTCGTGCAGAAAGTCTTCGAGTACTGGCCGATCTGGATCGCGTACCCGCCGACGGTCGAGTATGCGCTGAAGATTTTGTACCACTCGGAGTTCGACGTCGCCAAAGCCTTTGCGTTCCTCTGCGATCCGAACTTCGACTTCTTCGGTAAGTGCGCGCCCGCGCGACGCAGTAATTTGCAAACCGCCCACCAAACCCTACCTCAACAAGTGGTGCCCCGGCGACCGCCGCGGCGAGTTTTCCAGTAAGTGCGCGCCCGCGCCACGCAGCCTCCCCGATCCCGCCGATCGAGTACTAACTTGAGTCGCCGCGCGCCGCGGCCGCAAACACGCGCGCCGCCGCCGACTGAGCGCCGTGCAGCGCCCGCTGCGCGAGTTGTTTTAATTTCGCCCTATTTTATAATCGAGATCCGATCAGCCGGGCGCGCCAGCATGGACGCGGACGCCGCCCCCGTCGCGCCGCTCGGCCTTAAGTTCGCCGTGACTTCTGACGCGCAGGAGATTCCGGGATCGGAACGCGCGCAGTGGGACTTCGCTTTGAAACTGAGCTTTTACTCGGCAGACCCGCACATCACCGAAATGGTGCGGCTGTGCTCCGCCGAAAAAGAAGCCGCGTTCAACGCGCACTGCGGCAGCGAGTTCGAGCCCGACTTCGGCTTTGCGTTCGTCGAAGTTTCGCGCATCCAGCCCGAGCCGCAGTTCCTGCTCGACGCGGCGGGCCGCGTCATCTCCGCCGAGTTGCAGGTCGACGGCTTCGATGTGCTGCCGAGCATCAAGGGCCAGTGCGTGCTGCCGCTCGACGGCTTAGTGCTCAGCAACAAGACGCAGAAAAACAGCCAGCGCACCACACAGGTCGTTGTCTTCCGCATCTGTCTCGGCAAGACGACCGTCGTCAACGAGCCGCAGCAGCTTCGCACAATTCCGCAAAACTACGACTCGGTGCTTTGGATCTCCGACGTGAACCAGATCAACCCGCTGCTGCCCGAGCCTGCGTCGCACGCGGAACCGCTCGCGGAAAAGTTCACGCACCACAAGTCGCTCGGCGCGCAGCTGCCCCACGGGCCGAACAGCGCCGTGACCAACGCGTCCTTCGTCAACCTCAAGTTCCCTCAGATGCAAGTGCTGCCACTCTACCTGTGCACCATCGACTTCCGTCCGGTCCGCGTACGGACCACGCTGCCCATCTGCGGCAGTTGCGAGTTTGCGCCCGCCAAGTACTACTGTTCAGCGGACCGCACGCACTTCTGCGAGACCTGCGACATCACGCACCACAACGTCAGCAAAATTTTGTCGAGCCACAAGCGCGTCGGCATCAACGAGTCGCCCAACATTTTCGGCAACTGCGACGAGCACACCTCGCAGCTCATTACGCTCGTTTGCGAGAGCTGCTGCAAGCCGCTTTGCGCGAACTGCCAGCTGATGGGCGAGCACGCCGCGCACACTAGCTCGCGCGATCACAAGGTCGTCTCCACCTTCGAGCTGTACAAAAAAGCCATCGGCCACGAGAGCGACTGCTCGCAGTCCATCAGCGACGTTCAGCAATCCATCAAGAACGCCACCGACCATGTGCAGCTCGTGATCAACCAGTGCATCAAAAACTTTACCGGCGCCGCGAAGCAGCTGGACAACTTCGTTGAGCTGTGCGACCAGCGCGTCAACAAGCGCTACCTGCAAATGCGCGAAGACTTTCTGTCCTCGCTCAAGCGCCAGTATTTGCTCGAGCTGCTGCTCATCACCTCCATCGAAGACTTCTGGGCGCACGTTCAGTTGACGCTACCGCCGGGCAGCTACATCAAGATGCTGCAGCGCTTCAAGATGCTGATCGTGACGTGGTTCGCGGGCGGCGACACCGAGCCGCTCTCAGACTCGAACGTCTTCGCCGAGTCCGAGTTCCACGAGGTGCAGCGCTATGCGGCGCCCGCCGACAGTCCGCTGGAGTTGCTCCGCACGGTGTGGAGCTCGCTCGGACGAAGCGAAGAAGAGTTTGACGCTTCCATCACCGTCAGCGGCTCGCTGCAAATTGCGTCCTGCGCCGGCGACGCGGACTTCGAAAAACGCGCAAACGCTTCCACCGTCGCCGACGAACCGCCGAACAAACTCAGCGAGGTCTGCAAGAACTTCAGCTCGCACGCGGCCGGCATCGACGAAAACGAGGCGCGCGAGCTCGAGCGGCTCGACGTGCTCGACTTCAAAACCGAGAGCTTCCGACTCCACGAAGACCCGCGCTACGCAGAGCGCTCTGAGTTGTACGCCGCCGCGCTCGGGGGAGATCAAGAGCGGCGCAACGCCCTGTGCCGAGTGCTGTGGGAGATTGTTTCAGCGCGAAACTTCAGCGTGTTCTCGAAACTCGTGTTCTTCTGCGCGGCGACCGACGCGACGAGCGCGCTGGCGCTCGTCAACGCGTTGACGCTGATTGCAGTCCACCTCAAACGCTACGAAACGTTCGCAAGCTGGCTTTTCAAAGTGATGTACTTGCGCTTAATCGACAACCACCGCGAGCGCTTTTTCGACAACTTGACGGACCTCACCGACTGCTTGTACGGCGATGAGATTAGCGTGTACGTCAACTACGAAGAGTTGTCGAACCCTGTCTACTTCTGCGTCGTCGCTTGCATTCTGCGCGAAAACGTGTTCAATGGCGACCGAAGCGGCAATCTGCTGCTCGACGAGGATGTGCAGCTGATCGGGAGCCTCTTGCTGCCTGTAGTCGCGCAAATGTCGTTGAAGGTTGCGGACATCGAACTGCTGCACGCTGGCGCGCCCGCGGAAGATCGCAAACTCGCGCTCGAAGCTGCCGCAGACGCCGTGCTGCTGAGCTTTGTGCAAGCTCTCACCGACAGCGCGACTGCGCTTAAATCTTTGCCGGTGTTTCTGCAGAACGTGCTCCTGCTGAATATGGCCGCGTTCGAGTACCTAAAGGGCGCAAAATACCCGGAGCTGCGCGCAGCCTTTGGTCCACTGCTCGTGCCGCGGTCGACTTTCTTCGACACGCTCCCGCAGCGGCTGTTGCAGTCGTGCGAAACAGCGGTCAGCGCCTACCTCATTCTGAGCAGTTTCTTCAGCACGGTGTTTCTGCAGCTCAGCCTAGAGCTCGATCTGTGCGAGTCCGCCGCGCAACACTCGCCGACAGAGAAGTCTGAGGCGCGCACCGCGTGCTACTTCTTAGGCAGTCGACTGCAATACCTCGCACGAATCACGTTCGCGGACATCTTGAATTACACGCCGCCGGTCCTCGCTCGTCGCCGTAACCTGGCCGAGCTGATTGCGTCGAAGAGCACTATCACGGTCTGCTCTCAGATGCTGCTGCGCTGGATGAACAATAGCATTTATCCGGGCGTCAAGCTCGCCGCGAGTAGGGCGGCGCTCAAAGAGCTGCCGGACTCAAAGCTCGAGATGCTGCACGAAGCGATTAAGCTCTGGCGCGCGACGCTGAGCAAGGCGCGCGACGCTTTCAGCGCGGAAACCGACCTGAGCGCCAAGGAGGTCTACTCAAGTTTCGACGAGCTCGACATCGTGGCGCTCG